GAGGCTTTACTTTGTTGTGGATGTCTTACAACTAGTGACTGAGGTTAAGTTATGTGATTATAAAAGAATAAGACTATGTATTCAGTTAATAGTTATTTTTTATATAATGTACTATGTGACCAAAAAATAAGATTTATCATATTTTAATAAATGTCATATGCTTCATGTAACATTTAGAAAATGGGGAAGAAGAAAAAAAAAAGTCTATTACGGATCTCGAAGATGGAATTTAAAGGAAGACGATATTTGTGAACCGCAACTCAATGGCTAGAATTTTAAAAGTACAAAAATCAGAAGTGTAGATTTTGATAAATGAGCCATGAACATAAACCTACTTCCTCTCTAGTAGGACTTTTGTTAAAACCACCCAAATAGAAGTAAGTAAAGATTTTCTAACTTAATGTGCCAATCGCAAAGAAGAGAAGTTTACCAATAATCATTGCAAAACGAAGAGAGGCGAATTCGAAATTATGTTCTATCAACATAAGTTTGGAACCAAAAAGAGAATTCACACAAATATCGTAAAACTTATCTACAGAAGTTGCTTCCTTAACCAAATAGGGACCAAATGCACCAAAATGAATGGTACACTTTAGAAGGGAGTTTCAAAGCATGAGGAAACTCACTAGACAAGAGTGTAGCATTTTTTAAGGCCTTCTTTTTGGCAAATCAAACAGTAAGAAAAATATGTTAAAGAAATGAAATGCCCCACAAAGATCACATGTTTAATAATCAAATATTATCAAAACCCCACAAAGTTTTTCCCTTTGAAGCTGGAGAAATTGCGAACCTGAAATTGCGGGATGGAATCTCCAATCGGTACCTTTGGCATTGAGTTAAAGAACCGCACCAGCTGAAAGGAAATGGTGCTCATATTCGGCGGCATGATAGGGTTCGACTTTGCTGATTGTATTCTTCATGTGTTGCAAAGAGATTCTAGGTTTTTAGAAAGAGCAATACTCTTTTACATGTAAGAAAACAGCAGACAAAAGAAAAACCATACAACACTTGAGTTATCCAGCACCTTCTTCACAGCAGGGTTGCTTTCTTCAATGACGTTCTTGGTAGACATATCAACAAAATCTTTTTGACAGATCGAAATATTTCTTCAAAATCCTTCCTCTTTTAAGCTTCTTCAATCATAAGGGAAGCAAGGCCAGTCCAAATATTCCTCAGTTCTTTAAAACAAGCAATGATATCTTTCAAAGCATCAGCCAGATTTTGAAGGTCCAAACGGATACCCTCAAAATACGCTTGAACCATAATAGGTAGATCAACATTTCTCGAAGAGAAGATATGACTCTTCATTTTCGCATAGCACCACCCGAAAAAAGAAACCAAAGCAGTGTAGATGGGATATGAAATGGCTTTTGAGAATTTTTGGGAAGCAGATGCAATGTCATACTTGCCAATTGTGATCCTTGGAATAGTAGTACCAAAGACGACATTCACAAAAATGGAGTAGGAATGAAGTTAGTTGAAACTAAGTTGTAATTGATTAAACTAATATCAGTACCAAACCAAACCCTAACCATTCCACAATAAAAAACTATGAGGATGATTTACTAACATAATGAAAAAATCTGAGGCTTGAAACGAGTACCAACATATGTACTCTGCACAAATCATGTGCACTAAAGTCATTTTTTATTACAAACGATTAAACGTTAAAAACAACTCATAATCTCATTTGCTATGAATCAAAACATACAATTGGATGCGACAAGTATTGCAAAAACTCATTTGCTACATAGTATGATTCAAGTCTTTAACCTCAACAACAATAATCTTCTTCTTCCTTTTGATATTCATCATCACACCAACAATAAAATTTTTTTTGGCCAATTTTCTTTTTCAAAGAACCAGCCAAATACTAATAATACAAATTTTCTTCGTTTCCGAGTAACTCCAAAGAGCTTAAAGGTAGTTTAATTTGTTTATATAGATCAAAGTCTATGGCAAGTTTTGTTGTCCAGATCTCTCGACCTTGTGATTTACAAGACCATCTACGATTTGTTCCTTGTGTACTTGAAGACGCGTGTAGAAAATGAACAGGAGATACGAGTTGAGTTGAAAGCTGTTAAAGAAGAGATCGAATTCATGAAGACGTCTAACAGTTTTCTCTACAAACTCTTAACAGTGTTTCCTCCCGCTGCTCCTTCGGAGAAAAAAACTAGATCCCATTATAATATAAGTCAAAATCATTTTAATACGGAATAATCATCATTTGATTAAAGAAAAATACACATCTACTCGCCTAAATATGTGGGTGGTTTGTTATAAACTTACAATGCTATGTGACCCGAGTTTGAATTCTTTTATATATTACATTTAAAAATAGATTATTTATGTTTATGAATCCACCACAAATATAAAATAGTGATTTAAAATCTACCGAGACTATGGACTAAACTTGATGGTTATATATAAAATACATGTCTACTTTATTATTGTCAAAACATATTTGAAGCCATTG